TCAAGACCTGACATGGCAAGCCAGGTTGGTCAGAGTGGTTGGGGACTTCTGTATCTTCCCCCCTTGCACCAGTCACCCTGAACATCCCTTTGGCCTCTCACACCAGTGTTAAGCATGTTCTTGTTTGCCAAATGAGAAAAATTGGGTAATTAGCGCAGGGCTAGCCCAGCAGCAAGCCTGCATGTGTCCTGCTGGGGGGTGGCCTCATCTCCCCAGGTCCCTTCCTTTGTGTCCTGCTTGTCCTCAGGAAGGGTTGAGCTCCTGGCTGCAGGCTGGGAGCGGAGCAAGGCTGGACCCCTCCAAAGTGGCCTGGGGGAGCACCTAGGATGGGGTGAGGAGCTGACTGGCTGTGATACGGAGCTTTTACAAATCAGCAGACCCAAAAAGCAGCAGGATGGACTCTGCTCAGGAGCTTTTACTGTCCCAGCATCCGATGTGAAACTGCACAGCCCCAGCCCGGGGGGTGCTGAGGGTTCCCTGTCCTGCCCTTGGGAAGGGGGCACCCTGAGGAGGCTCTGCTGGCTGGAGCTCAGCCAGACCCCTGGTGCTCTGTTGCTTGTGTCTTACCTCTTTATTTGCTGTCTATGTGCATGTAATGTCTTTTTCTTTGTGGCAGTGTCTCATTTTACGCTTTGTGATTTCTTTGTATTGCTGTTGGCAGATGGATGATGCTGAGGAGAAAAAAAGATGTCCTGAAACTCACCCCCTTGCATTCGGTTAGGTATTAAAAGGCGATTTGTTTTGTATAGTGGTGATGGTTTGTTTTGACCTGCAACAGCGTCTCTCCATTTCCTTCTTGACTGAGCAAGCATTTGAAAAAGCCTCCTTTTGGCTTAGCCCTGAGTCCCATTTCTCTGGGCTTTGGCTAAAGGAGGAGGAGGACAGTCCTGGTTCACCTGCTCCTCCTCTGCACCGTGGGAGATGCGGGGCTGGGATTGCACCCAGGGGAGGGCTGCGTGTTGCCCTGTTCAGGGTAATTTTGGGGAGGAATGCAGCCCTGCGGACACTCTCTGAGGTTACGGGTGATGAAAACGCAGGGTGCTGCTCTGGGTGTGTGTGCTCTGCCCTCGCTCCGGGCCTGGCCCTGGTGCTGCGGGTGACTCGGGAGCCTTGTGGAAGGACAGAGCTGGGGCAGGGTGTGACGCAGGGTGCGTGTGACACGCTTGTTCTTGCTGTCCCAAGCCACTGTGGGCATGCCCGGCAGCTGGGGTGGGCCGGTGTCCCCTGTTGCCCCCCCTGACCAGCCTGTGCCGCGGTGTGGGGCTTGCAGACATGGTGACGCTCTGGATGTGGCCATGCGTGCACGGCTTCCCGCTGTCAGTGCCCCGGACACACGGATGGGCTCTCGCACACAGACACATCCTTGCTGCAGACCCCCCACAGTGCCATGAACGCTGACATGCACACAGTCACGCTGACACGCACACGGTGACAGCCACCCTGGTGCCAATGTGGCTGTGGTGACCTGACAGCTCGTACCCCCGTTGCCCCCACGGGTGACAGGGCTTGCTGCCCCA